TTCCAATATGATAATAACGTCGAAAGGAATCATCAGGAAAAAAATTAGAAAATTCTACGGAAGGAAATTTGCGAGGTGTGAAAATTGCCTTTTTTCTAGGTTTTCTGAAATTTCGCTCCTTAGAATTTTTCAAAAATCTTAGTGTATTTTCCTTTTAAAGTGCCAAATGCAATCACTGAAAAGAATCAGGGAGTCACCGGGTTAGTTTTTTAATTATTTAAGCCACAAGCTAAAAAATGCGTCTGAATACGCCTATGAAAGCGTTGCCATGGAAACTGCTAGTGACGAAATGACACCTATTTTTGGACAACCAATTATTAAATAACTCAACCCCGTAAAAGTGTTCAACTGGCCTTGGTCAGTATTTCTGTTGTATTCTTTCATCAAAACGATGAAAACCGGTACGAGCCACCTTAAAACAAAGATAGCGGCGCGAGGAGTTTTTTCTACTTATTATGTGAGAAGTTTACCTAAGAGCTTGCATTTGATGTGTTGAGCGGCCACTCTGAATGCAGGAGATAGAAACTAAAGTAAAGAAGACTATTTTCGGAGAAGTAAAGGTTGCTTCACTTCACATTTGAAAGAAATATTCAACCGATATATAATCTTGCGACGGCGAAAAAAGAACAACTCAAGTGAAGGATAATCTACCTGAAGTGGAAGAAGACTTTGAAACTTCAAGGAAAATAATATTATATAACCAGAGGTCATGTGTAGGATTTTTAAGATGAGCCCGGGAGGCTGTCTTTGACGGCTGTTTAATGATTTCTTAGCAGTAAACGTCTGTAAACATCAGATCATAGGTGCTCGCGCGAGCACACGCAATTGTCAGCGGTAGCTAAAACAGATCATGAGTAAATGACGATCTTATAGAATCCTGATCTTTAAATGTGCGAGAACGCGCATGGAAATTGCTAAACTGACGAAAGCTATTGCATGAAAACAAGTCCGGTGACCCCTTCTTTTTATAGTTCCAATATGATAATAACGTCGAAAGGAATCATCAGAAAAAAAAATAGAAAATTCTACGGAAGGAAATTTGCGCGGCAATCACTGAAAAAAAAACACAGGGTCACCGGGTTAGTTTTCCAATTATTTCAGCCACAAGCTAAAAAATGCGTCTTAATACGCCTATGAAAGCGTTGCCATGGAAACTGCTAGTGAAGAAATGACACTTATTTTTGGATAACCAATTATCATATAATTCAACCCCGTAAAAGTGTTCAACTGGCCTTGGTTAGTCTTTCTGTCGTATTCTTTCAAAGTTACAAACCATCAAAAAGATGAAAACGGGTACGAGTCACCTCAATTAAACAGACTGAAATCTGTATCAGCTTATTTCATACAAATTTCGAAAATTAAAAGATAATTAATGAGCAAAGATAATTAGTGAGCAAATTAAAGGTCCATAACCACCAAAAAAGGCCAGAGATCACGATGCAGCAGATGGTAAAAAGAAAGTACTGACTTTTCAGAGAACGCATTCGACTGGCCTCAGAGTTTTTCTTTGTTCCATTTAGATGAATGATCTATGCGTGACAAACGAGCAGAAAATTTGTCATTTTTGTTTTCATTGAAACCCATGGCACTTAAAGTTTTGAGAAAAATAGAATTTCATCTCATAAATTTCTCTGTCTTGCATTGTTAGCGGTCGACGTGGGTCGAGTATTACCGGGACCTCGCATTTTGTGTCTCAACGAGATCCAAAGACTCCAAGCTGCAAGTAGGATGCATCGTTGTACAACCAGAATCCCTGAAGGTCAGTCATATTGTAGGCTATTGTTTGTAATGTCTACAAAGGAATATACACTTAGCACGACGCCTACATTGATGATTATACCGGTGTTACAGTACCATTTTGGACTGAAAACTGCGACAAGTGAACCCTTCCTTTCACACACTAACTGTAGACGCTAAAACACTTTAAATCCGTCAGGGACACAAATAAGTTTTGAACGCGTACCAATCTTCTCTTATTTCACGGTGATTTACTCGAAGGATTACACGGTTCCTAAAAGGTAAAAGGAATTTGAAATAAACGATGCAATGGAGAAAGGAAACGCTGAATTAAAAACGAACCAAACAATAGGAATAGTACTTACAAAACACGTTTTGCCCCCATAAAACGTAAAACACACTAAGAAACTTGAACTAACTCGACTCACTCAAGGTCGTCACTAAAAATGGCGACCACAACACGTGTGGCTTAGTTGCGGCGGGCTGGGCCCTAAACTAGCGCGTGAAAACTGCCAGGCGCAACGACAAACTTGAGCTTACACTAACCACCCCTAACCCTCGGCAGATCTTAAGCACCGGGTACAATGGATTTCCTCCCGGAACCGAAAACACGAGCAAGAACTGGGAGAAAGGAACAAAAGATGATCTTGTTGTTCACGCCGAGGCCAACGCTGTGCTCCTCGCAGGCCAAGCTGATCTTGAAGGTTCAATAGCATTTGTCACAATGTATCCGTGCAGAGAATGCGCAAAAATGATGATAGCGGTGAGTGTTATCGGAAAAAAAAATATAACAGTATATTCTTATCTAACAACAACTATTCACTGAAGTGGAGATGGCTAGTGGTAGGTTTTTTTACCAAACCGCAAAGAGGTGAAGTAAATATCAACCACTGGACACCGACTAATTTTAGACAGGCAGTGTGCGCACTCTGATTGCATACGTTGCATCATGGTCTCACCTTTATTGGCATTGAGATGGCGTAAATATACGTGGAATGTGATAGGGAATAACTATCTGTTGCCGTTCCTTCGAAATAATTACGAGCCCACACAACTTGTCATTCTGTCGTGACGAATTCGTTCTCGGGAGGCAACTGACGAGGTTAAAAAAGAATTGAAACTGCGGTCTTGCCCAAGAATCTACACAAATGGCAGCTGTTACACACAGCCGATGGCTTTGATCTGTGAATAATATCAAATTCAGAAATTACATTCCTAGACGCAAGTTATTGAACGGGGAATCGACCATATAGCAGAAAAATACAATTTTTACTCCTCTATTACTGCAACGACTACAATATTTTCGGGCGCAAGTCCCGCGCGAGTTGCACGGAAGTGAATAGAAAAGGGTATTCCGAGTTTTAGTAACTAATCAGAGCGCGCCTACAACGCTAGATCTACTGTTTTAGTGTGTGCTGAAACAGTGAGATAATATAGCAAAAAGCATGATTTTAACTCATTTATTCCTGCCATGGTCACAATATTTTTGCGAGTTGTTCGGAGGTGCAACCTCGGAATAGTTAACAACTATTCACCGAAGTGGAGGTGGTTAGTGGTGGATATTTACCAAGCCGCGAAGCGGCGAGGTAAATATGCACAGCCAACCACCGACACTGAGGTGAATAGTTGTTTTAGTATATACTAAAACAGTGAGATAATATACACCACCAAGAATTGATTTGAGTGATTTCTTCGCTTACGGGGCCACACTTCAGCTCTCGAGTATAACGTATATGACGGCGTTGAGTTCCAAATGGTTTGCGTTCTCAGACCACGCACATTTTAGTGATTTCACTTTGTTGTTTTGCATAGGAGAGCCAAGAAATGTACCAAGTTTTAAAGTGTACGTGCTGTTTTTCTTCTCGTTCGATCTTTTGTTTTCACACGTCCTCGTTGCCGTCGCCATTGTGGTTTGTTTAAGTGTTTCTTTTTAGTGCAGACGGTTCATTTAGGCACTTACCACACAACTGCGATTTCGTTGAAAAACGCATACTGTTTCATGGTTTTTGCCAGTCATCCGCACTAAAGCGCCTTAAAACATTGATAAAAACATTGATTTTCATAAAAAGTTCCAGGGAGAAAAATTGAAAATGCAACATTTTTAAAACGTTCCCTTTGAGTGCGGTGGGTGAAAACAGAGGCGTTTGAAAATGGCCTTGAGAAAATTAACGGATGTGATCGGTTCCAGCCCTATCTGGAACATCAGTTTCTTCTTTCGTTGGGTACCGTTGTGTAGCGGCCGACACAAGCCAAGCAAAATTTCGACGACAACTATGAGTTTCGCAAATGAAGACACACTATGAAGCGAGGATATATTTTACGGACAAGCCTTGAATCGTTTTATTTAACGTAGTCGTGGTATCCAAGTACTTATCGTAAACTGAAATATGAATTTATAAGCAAGAAGCTAAGCTAAATGCGAATACACAAACCAACATTCCAAACATTCCTATATAAAGGCAAGCTGCAAAGCTAGCTAAAAACTCAAACAAACTCACAAAAAAAACTATATATAAGCTCAAGGAAAGGAACATTAGCACTTACATAACAGTCCCGCTTGTAAGAATTGAACCAAAACGAACTTCAAAATAAGTTAGGTATTCAGAAGCGAAACGGGAAATCCAAACAGACACTTACTCTAACACAGAAAACTGTAGTCTTACGGCAAACGACAACAACCAAACGATAATCTAAAAGAAACTTTGTACTCACTGGCGACATTTAAAAGTTATTCTACTTCACTGTCGTTGTAGCTGTGAAAGTCTTCCTTGGTAAAGGTTTCTTGTTGATTTACGACGACTTTTTCACCTTAGATTTGTACGTTTTTGTGCCTTAGCCTTGGAAAATAAACAGCCGCATTACCCGCTAAAGGATGCATAAAACAAGTTTAATTTCATGCTATCACGCATGCAAAATGCCACGTCGCACTCGCTTTATCATTTTCGGCCGTTTTAGCAGGGACTAGTGAAAACGCTTCGAAAACGCTGGTGTGCACAGAAATATATTTCTTTGTTTTCGTCGATATGCATGAAAACGGAGATTTTTCAGAACTTATAAGTGTGTCAGGGCCTTTGTTGCCCTCAGTTTAGAAGTAATTATTAATATATGACCATCTCTTGTTCTACCTGTAGAAGGGTATTCGCAAGGTATACTATCTGTCATTTAAAGAAAAATACCAAGAGTCCAGGGCTCTCTTTGAAGCAGCCAATGTTTGGGTCATGTAAGTAATAATTCTTGTTAGATTAAAACAAAAATCTAGATAACAGCTTTGACTTTATTTGAAAACTCTCAAATAAATGAAGAAATAGCATACCAGACGCGCGGTGCAATGCTGAGGAGTAACATCAAGAGTCAAGTGCACCAGTTATGCCAGTCGGCTGAATATAAAATCATTGTTCGAAATCGAAATCACTCATTTTGATAATTTGCAATTCCATGCCTCAATGCCCCGATCTTTTCATCTCAGTTAGCAATATGTATATATCCGGGGACTCTAATGATTTCTTTTCCTGCAGCTTTGTGCCCATATTTGTATTTACCTTTTCGTTGATTAACAGCCCTATCTCGTTGCACCAATTTAGGCCTCTAAAGCGAGGTGAGGATACAACTCTGGAAGAGTTTAAAAAAAACCTGATTGACAAAGTTAAAATGGTAGTGGTACAACATCAAAATCAACAGCAGTCGCCGCTTAAACCAAATGGAGTGTATGAAGATCTAAAGAAAAGAATGGAACATATGAGGAGAGCTGATCTAAAAAGTCCATGGCCGAGAGGGTCTAAAATGAACGGGGTCAGTAATTCTTACGTCAGAAAGGTGCATTTAACATTTTATCTCTTTTCTGCATCTCCACGGCCAAATTTTAATTCGAAGCTAACAATGTTACTGTTTTGTTAGTCAGTGAAATATAATCAACCCCCAGCCTTTTGTAACTAATGGCCTGACTTACCATAAAGTTTTTGAGGCGCGGTAGTGGCATTGGAGCGTGGCACATATATTCTTAAATAACTCCGGCTCCAATCGTTTGACCTTGATTTTCTAGATCTTACTGGACAAGTGGACGGACTATTTTCTGTTCTTGGCTCTTGTTGCCAGCACTAGGGCTTTGGAAGACCATCAAGGAGCAATCTTGATCGATTCTGCAACCCTCAAGGTATGTATTGGCAAATTTCAATGTTACCCACTTTGTGTCAGCAATACACAAAGGACCATAATAACATTTAGGACAACTCTCAGCAAAATATAGTCATAATTTGAGTGAAACACTGAGAAAAAAAGAGAAGCCTTAAAATTCCAACTTAAATTCATTTTAGGTTTGACAATGAACTTATAAATGCAGCATGTAAATTTCTGAAAAAGAATTGCGACTTTAAGCCTGGCTTTAAAAGCAAGGGCAAAGTGCAAAAATTAACGTTGATTTTACTAATTTTTTTTTTATTATTGTGAAAAAAAGGAATTCTCTTACCTAAGAGTGTTAAAACGGTTGGAGGCGGAGGGAAAAGATTCCCGTTTTTTGCCGGGTTTTCGTTTTCCCTGACCGCTAAGCCAAAATATTCTATCAAGACATACAAGGCAACCTTCAACGAAATTTGGCAGCACTATGTATGGGGCCCGAGGGCTAAAAGTCGGGTAGATGAATACGACTCACTTAAAATTCGTATCTGCCATATCCATCATTTTAATTGGATTCATTACATTAAAGAATCTTGTCGGTTTCTTGCAAACGTCTGGGGTCCCGTATTCGAGGTATGGTTAATTATGTCTTTAGCATGGAATTTATCTTTCAGCATTCATATTACAAATAAAACTAGTCTTTATTTTCAACTTTCAGATATCGGCGTTATCGTACAATGGATATCCGAGAGGTGTCCCCAATGACATGGGCGATGACTCGATGCAAATTTCTGCGTTATCAAACGCGATTTGTCTGCGATTCAGCGAGGGACATGAATTTATCGCATTTTCAACGCACTTCCCAAAACTTACTGAGGCAAAAAATCTCGCCCAGGTGAGAATCGCACGACGAAGACGAAAGTTCTCAAAAGAATACATTTAAGCGGTGAAAGTCACTTCAAGCGGAAACATCCTCTCTTCATTAGTACTATATTCCTGTAATATATAACTGTTTCGTTTAATACCTTACAATTGTCAAGGTCTCAGAAAAGCTCAGTCAACCACTCCAAGTCTCTTTACACTATCTGAAGAAACATTTCTCTTCATCCTCTTAATTTTCTTCTTTCAGATCGACCCTTAAGCAAGCAACAAACACACAAAAGGCTTGTATTCGCAAAACCCCTGATCATAACGATAGGCACTTTTCATTTCGTGCTTTGAAAAGAGTTGGACAGCAAGATTATTCGAGCTGCAACATGTTTGACTAAGTTATCACCATTTTATTTCAATTTTGCATACAGGCTAAGGTCAAGAGGTTGTACTTCATATGGCCCAACAGTCTTGAAGGAGACAGCAAGAAGGCGCTGCAAATTATGGAAGATGCTGGAATGGAAGTTGTGTAAGTAAAAAATTGCTTGGCATATAATAATCAAAAACGAGTTCGTTTGTTGGACATAAATCTTTTCTGGCTCTGATAAATTACTTAAATTTTGAAAATGAAACAACAAACTTTTTACATTTTCAGGCCGATGGATGTCCCTGATTTAGATAAACTACAAGAAGCCATAGGTGCTACCGTCGAACGCCTCAAGAAGGCAGAAAGTGAGAACAAGCTTCCCTTCAGTCAATGGCCAAGTAACACTGGGGCCGATTACGAATTACAACCAGAGAAACTCTAAGTCAGATGTCTCACACCGTGTTTTACTTATCTAGAGCTTATTTCGTGCATAATTTTGATTAATTCTCTAAAAAGAATATATAGAAATTAATGATAATTCATAATAAAGAACATAGAACTTCGAATTGTTAAAAACCAGAACTTAGAAATTTTAAAAATAATTTATCCAACTTTCTGGAAATTTTGAAATTATCTTATTTTAGAGATCAAATGCTATGCGTAACGAAAACAACACCTTTTTTTTCTGATTTCATTAGCTAGTTCGAAAGATTCGGGATGAAAACCTCCAAAATTGAACGATCAAAAGCGTACTGTACTGATTAGTGTTTATTTGGTGATAATCCTGTAACGATCGACCAACTTGACTCTTCGTGTAAGCAGACTTTGCATTTTTTTTGTGGTAAGTTGATAGAGAACGTACCTGTGTTACATGGGGTCCATAGACGAGGGCGTTCGCATCTTGAAACCTCTATCAAGTGGTTGGCTTAATAAAAAGTCTGAGCGTTGAATTCATTGATGGAATTGACTTAATTTTAGGCTTTTCCAATCTTCTTAAAAACGCCTTTCGGAATGTTCCTAATCACTCACTCAGTTTTATTAAGGAGCCGGAGTTAGCCCCTATTACGCAATTTACAAAGCTTTCTTATGGTTACGCGCCACACCAAGAGTCAGCTGTTCTGAATGCTGTGGATTGAAAAAATACTAAGACGAAAGTTAGTGGTCGCAACGATCAAAATATAAATGAATAAAAGGGGTAAGTCTCTAAAGAAATTGTGGTGCTGCGTCGGTGGGGGTAATAAGGTAATTTGGTTATATCAACTAAGTTGAAACTGTAAATTGGCCATCGTAAAGAGTTAAAAAGCTGACGTTATTACCTCCACCAACGCAGCACCACAGTTTCTTTAGAAACATACCCCCTTTGTAGCAAGGGTCCGTTTGCTACCGATTTAAAGATACTGTTGTACTGAGGAATTTCATCAATAGCATTGTCCAAGTAACTGTGAAACTCACTCAGTACAAGAAAATAATAAATAAAATTGAATTAGATACAATGAATATATGAAGTTCATATATTTTGAACTGCAGTATTAAATACGTATGATGTACGATCCTTCGCAGTAGATAGCGTATTTAAGAAGGCAGTTCAAAATATATGAACTTCATATATTCATTGTGTCTGATTTATCATCACGGGTTTATTACGAATCAACTTAACGGCCTGCTCCCAGTTGGCTTGTTAGCTCAATTGGTAGAGCGCTGCACTAGTATCGCAGAGGTCAGTGGTTCGAATCCCGTACAGGCCTGATTTTTTTCAGGTCTGATTTTCGCTATTGCATAAATAGCGCTATCTACTGCGAAGGATCGTGCTTCATACGTAAAATTGAATTAATACGAATTTTCATTTCTTTTTTCTCAGTTCGTGAGCGATCGGTATTCTACAAATCGCACGATCTGATTGGTTCCGAGAGCGGGCAGTATTCACTCATCCGGCCCACTCTCAGTTGGCCCCATCCGTTTCATGTTGGTTCGCTTCGCAGAATCTCTTCAGCTTTGTTTCGATTTTTCATAAATCCATCTTGTTTCGCCGGCTGAGCAGGATTTGTAGGCAAAGACTTCAGTCACAACCGTTAGGCATTAAATAGCATTTTAAATTTAAATTAAATTGGTTTTTCCACAAAAATTGATTTCGAAATAAATTTTGTGGTACTAAATATGTTTTTAAAAGATTGACGCGCGGCCTAAGAACCATCTGTAATTTAATAATGCTTCGAAAAAGTAACTCAGAAAGTTAAATGGGAGGTATTTTCGGGGAAGCAATTATATTGACCAATGCAAATCTCATTCACTTGATATCTGAATTCTCCAAAACAATTTGTTCGTTTGTGAAACGTTGAGCGAAGGTTTGAGATCTCTTCTAAGGACGCTTTCTCTTAATCTTTGCAAGTCCCTTGAATTTGGACAAGTCTACCGTAAATCTCACAACAGAAATGGAAGGAATTCGATGAGTGAAAGTCACGTTAGATCCCCCTTTGCCCAGCAAGAAAAGGCATCTCATTTTACTTCAGTTATGCGGTGGAAAAAAGACAAGATTTACACACGCCATTGCAGAAAACAAACTAGCACACTCTCACAACTTCAAAACATATTTGAATTCACTTACAATTTGACTGTCAGGTGACATTTAAAAATGAACAAAAGTAAGTTTTCAAAGATTACGCGTCGTTAGAAATGAACGATACTTACCTTAAGACCTCTGAGTATTATTTTTTTTTTTGAGAAGAGATCGTCGCTGAGGTCATCTACTGATCGTGCATGTTTGCTATACCAGTACCAATTGACAGGAGTCAGATCGTGACAGATACTTCCCAAAAAAATGTTTCAAAGTTTGTTTGGAAGCCTTTTAAGATACATTTACCATTACGTCAATAAAATGTTTGGGTGTAGCCTCTCTTTGGATCACGGCCTCTGTTTTCTTTATTATCTTCTCGCTAAATATGTTCAGTTTATAGAGGATCTTCCTGTAACTAAACTCGTAATTGTGGCCCTAAATCTTTCGGGTTCTTTTGGCAAGCATTTCGTTAAGTTTTGGAAACAATAGAAATGTTATTCTCCAGCCTAGGTTAGCCCGTATTGGGAAAAATTGTGTCTTCTGTCTTGAGTACCGCCATCACCCTCTGGCCTTGGGTGGTATCCAAAACTTCGGGCACAGTTTTTCCCAATACCGACCTCCCGGCTGGTGGATAACATATATGAATGTCGCTTAAGAATAAGAGAGAATTTAACATTCTCGTCCCGCTCAGACATTTTTCTCGCAGTTTCTTTCTTTAGTCACATGGAATTAGCTCTTCAAATGTGACTGGGGAAAGTCTGTGCATACATTGTTTAATTCAGTCTCAATCGAAAAAATAAACGTTGCTAAAAGTGGTCAACAAAAAGAAAATATCAACCGATTCTATCATTTTGCAGCTTTGCAGATTTTTAAGTTGGGCTAATTTGCATAGTTTTATCGCTGATAGAAAGGAAAAAGACAAAATTTGAGTGAGAATGACGATTCACGCTAATCCATCGACAGTAAGGAGCTCCAAAGCGAGGACTGAACCGCAGGGTGTTTGATCAGCTGCGATCTGCCGATCAAATTCGAGAATTTAACATTCCCAACAGCTGGGTTGCTTCAAAAGCGAGCAATAAGAAAGTTAGGTAATGAAATTATTCAAAATGAAATTCAAAATCCAGAATTGTAAGCTAAGGAGCGTTCAATTTTTTCCCTCTTTTCTAGAAGGATTGAATGAAAAGCTGGCCTCTTTTTATTTGCATCTTCATTTTTTTAGCTGCATCTACCAGTGATAGAACCCAGCAGTGATATAACTCATGAGCTATTTTAGAAAATAAACGTGACTAGTATAAATCGAATGTGCGACTTAAAATAATCGAAGTTATCATTGGCTTTATCGAAACTAAATCAACGATTTGTCTCTTAGGTCATGATTTACAGAATACAAGATTCTCTTTATTGTGTTCTTTGCCGCTTCATCTTTTGTTTTCGCTAGCCGCACAACATATACAAGGACTTATTTCGCAAATTTTCATGTTCGCGGTGCAGTGTTTCTTTTTCAAAAGTGGTATCGTTTCTGTATGTCAGAAAGTTTACTATGCTGGTGAACTCATGATCTACGAAAGACTAAAATTAAAATTCAACCTGACTTCTCTATCAACCGTTTTAATTTCACTAGAGATGTTTCTGTGACAGCTCTTAAAATCAACAAAACCTATTGCGCTGAATTATAATAATAATAACAATAATCAACTTTATTTAAAGAGGGTAAAACACATAACAGTATAAAACTGACAAACCAGGGGCCCTCTT